AATATATGAATTCATATAATTCCTTTCTTAACCATTGATCTTTTTCATACTTTCCCGTAATATTTCTCTAGAAGTTATAGTTAATTTTCTTCTGCATGTCATCTATGAAAATGTAAAAAAAAAATGGCCAAACTATTGACCATATTGGTAAAGACTCACTAGCTATATGAATTTATAGCTTTTGAAGATTTGCCTTGCTGTAGAATAGTAAAGTTAAAAAGCTTACATAAAAAGTAGTGGCTTTGAATCTATGCTTCAAACGGGGCAAGAATTTGTCATAAACTCTTAACAGACTCAACCCAGCCCAATAATACTAACAAAATCTTACTGAAAAAATCTTTATTTTAGGTCCTTTGATTTTAGATACACAGACTGGCAATCTAGTCATAAGTATGCAGAAAAGTTATGTTAGAGAGACACAAGATAAAGTTGCTGGGTTTTGCTCAAGGACCCAGTGCATGATATCCACCCCAAACTGCCTGAATAACGAAACGTTTTGCAGCTGAAAAGTATTGCACTGCAACCTGCCATTCTCATCCCAGGAATGGCAAGGTCACTGTTGTAATGATGAAAAAATTGTTAGACCAACGCATTTGGTTGAGAGATGCAGGACACTGCATGCTGGCCTGTTTTCCCTGAAAAATTACAAGAACATTGACATAACTGAGCCCAAATTCTCTCCCCCTACATGGTAGAAATGACAGTGTGTGAACTTTATGTATTTATCTATTTATCTATATTTTTATCTATAGCTATTGGGAGCACAGACTACCTGTACTGCAATTTTCCTAGAAGACCAATCATGCAATGGGGAAAGAGTCTCAGGCTGCAGTTTTCTCTTTAAACATACAGCCTTTTTTGCTAGAAAGGTTAGGCACAATTAACTTCTTTCATGCAGTAGTATAGTTAAAGCAATAATTGGAATCATTCTGAAACAGCTTTAAGAAACCAAAGAGCACATACATGTTGAAAATGGATTCTTGATGTTGTCTTTTGCACAGTTTTTGATATTTTTATCAGAATATTGCTTCCACCCCTATGAAGGAGCTTGCCCAAATTGAATTGACATGCTTTTTCTTCCAGCTTTACAAAACACTGCATTTAATGGTTAATAGCTGCAATCACAGTGGAAGGTCCATAAAATCTGCAATACTAAAATTAAATTTTAACGAAAAACTAAGTTTTTCATTAAAAAAATCAGTTTTAAAACCTACAAATTAAATTTTTAAAGATTTTTTTTTATTGAATGATACAAAAAAAGAAATAAAAAGTGGATTTGAAATTAATCTTTTTACCTAACAATGGTAGGGGAACAAAGGGCATGAAGCATTAGGAAGGGATTGTGTCTGAAGAAATACATTACTTAAAACTATATCCTGCACTCTGTTTCTTGAATCTTTAAGTGACTCTACAAAATTACATCCCAGATGACTTTTTTCACTACAAATTCTCCTTTCTTGATTGTATCATCTTCCTACTTAATCAGCTCTAGTCCTTCTACTGTCCTTTAGCATTCACTTCCTTTCTTCACATGGGATGTTACTGGTTCCTTCCAATACACAGCAAAACTTTGTGACTTGCACATGCTTTGCATTTCACATTTCTACCCTTTCTGCCCACCCACACAGATAATTGCTTTGTCCATTCTCACCATTTCAAATGACAGCTACTGCAGTTCTTTTCTCCAGCCTTGACTATTTATCCAATAACCCCTTCTAGGATACTGGCAGAAAGATTAAGTTTCATAGCCTTCCTATTTGGCTGTGCCATCTTTCTCCATACATCAGTAAAAAGTTATACTCTCTTTTATCCAGTTCTACATAATTCATCTTTTTTTCCCAGTATTTTAGCATTTGTTTCTTGTCATATTTATTTTCTCTCATTCAAGACTGAAAGATCAGCTCCTGCTGCTCATCAGACTTGCCCCATCATCCACTTGATATATTTTTAGTAAGCACCTCGCGTTTTCTCCTCATTGCCTGGAATGCATGAAAGGACCTCTCTAGAAACATTCACAAAGCCATCTTGTTTTCTTTGGTCAAATCTCCCCTTAGCATTCTCTATTGTCAAGATGTCCCTAACCCAGTGTTGTAACTATCTTCTGTCATGTGGAACATCTCTTAGTTCTTCTGTGCTTCCCCTTTTGAACTCATACGTTATTTCATGATATAGACTCTATGTGCTTGGAACAGAGATTGTGTTTTTCTACAGTATTTCAACAGTGAAATCGTGCTCTGTGATTATAATTGCTGTGTACTCACATGATAAAACTACTGTGAGTATCAGAATTAATGCTTAGAATTGATATTTAAAAAAATTGAGGTTAAGATTTAGGGAAGTCTTAAACAGATTACCTGCAGTAAAAATTGTTAATTATTATTTTTTGTCCCTAATATCATCAGGGAGCTGGAATAAGAAATAATGTCAGGGAACTGTGAATACTGAATACTCAACAGCAAAGCTTGAGTGATGCTTTCTGTTTACTAACATGTGTTGCCAAGAAGGAACGCAATTATGATTTCCCTATAGGTCAACCATATGCCAAGGTTTAGTTTTACAAGGTTTAATGAAGAAAAATCTGATGCTGCAGCTACTTCTGCCAAAAAAGATGAATTGATTTAATGTGCTCCAGTGCTCCAAAAGCTAATGCAGTTTATTGTGCTGAGGTACTCTTTAAAATAGTCATGGGATGAATTGTGATGGGTATCTGTCTTCATGGTCATTTAAGTTACACTGAACCCAACTATGATCTCAGCAGATTGAAGACCTTAGTGTGACTATTACCATTACTCATAAAGTATATAAGAACACTAATATCAAGAGGTATGACTTATCCTTAACAAGGTAATTTTTGATGATGAAGTGACTATGAGCAGCCCCCGCATGTACACATGTAAGCTGGTAGCAAAGAAAGAGAGTGGATTTCCATAGAGTGCTCTGTGCTTGCACTAATGTATATGAGCAGAGTTTTACAGGCATAAGTTATTTAGAGGTAGTTTAGAACTGGTAAGATAAAAGAAAGTATATTTTTCTGAGATTTTCTGCCATTCTTGTGTGAGAAGGATTTCAAGAATATTCATCAAATCTGAAACTCATTTTTTTGCTAATGAATAAAGAAGGAATATTGTATTTCTCTCAATGCAATTTACATGGATTTTGAAATACAAAATGTCATAAATTTATATGGTTTTAAGGACTCATTGTAAAATGTATAATTCTAGAATATTATCTGATAAAACCAGAGCCAGTTGTGCTGAAATGTTTCTGGATACAATACAGCGGCAGAGGTGCATGACCACTCCACCATACAGCAATGCTTGACTGTTATTCACAGTGAACAAATGAAAGAAAATAGGAAGACACTGTTTTGACACTGATTGTCAATCACTATGCACAGTTTATCAACCTATCCAAAGAGGATTAGTAAAAAAAAATTAAAAATCTATATTGTCTTCTTTAGAATGGCCATAAATGAAAGTAATTTTGATATTGATGAGATATCACTCAACAAAAGATTTTCCCTGAAATGATAATTCAAGCATGAAATACAAGAAGGAATTCTACAATTCCTACTGTTTATTATAGTCAAACCCAAATTGTGGTCTAAACCAATTTAAAAAATAGTATGCTGTAGTTGCATGCATATTAATGAGTCAAGTTGGTGTGCTGCATCATTTGGTATGCATAACAAGTTCACTGAAGTTGAGAGTGAAACTTAATTAAATATGAAAGCATCATGACAGAAAGCAAAACAAAAAAAAAAAAGCTGCAGAGAGCATAGGCAATAAGCAAGCAAAAGGAATAAAAAGGAAAGACAAATAGGGTCTTGGAGGCAGAAAAATAGGTCTATAGAAACAGAAGTATATTTTACCTGTCATCCTCTTTCCCTTCCTCAGCTTGGTCTTCTTGAGCTTTTTCATCATGCCCTGATTCTTTGATCTCCTCCTTATCACAGTTTTCTGTCACCTCTTGCCCTTCCCCTTTTTCATTAATTTCTTGCTCCTTTGCTTTTGCCTCCTCCTCCTCCTCCACTTTTTCTTCCTCCTCAGGAAATACTTCATCTTGTTCATCCCCTTCCAGCCCTCCCTCTTTTTTTCCCTCTATATCCCTTGTCCTTCTGAGGTCAACAAAAATTGAAAAAGGCATGCAAAAAGAAAAAAAAGAAAACAGTAAATTAAAGTTAAGGTCATGGAGAAGAGCATGCATGAAAAAAAGGAAACACAAAAGAAATGTAATAAAAACTAAAGGATGGAAACAGTCATAAGGTAAATCATGCTGGTTAAGGGTCTAGCCTAAACTAGAGATCTTTCTAGGCTCTAGGAACATTTTCCTAGGAGAAAGTAAGTCCTTCTTCAAATAAGCAACACAAATAAGCAGGGCAACACATCACATTTAGAAATGTATACAGAACTGTGTGAAAGAAACAATATGGTCCTAAAAACGCTCATATAAGCAGACACAAACAATTTTTTCAAACACACTATTTCTCTCAAGAGGACAATTTTCTGAGAATTAATATAGGTGATGGAGGTGGGTTGCACCTTCGAGAACAATTATCTTTCACTTGTGCACCAAGTGAAAGCCAAAGCTCCTGTGAGTGCACACAAGGTGTAGGCAAAGAAAATACTGTAGTTTGGTCACAGATACACAATGTATGTCTTGTTAAAGAGCAGTTCAATAGTGGTACACTTACAGTGTACACCTAAATTGGATTTAGGTTTTCAGAAAGTGCAAATCTAAGTGTGCCTAATGCTTGCTGACAGCATATCTTTGTTATTTTAGTGTATGTTACATAACCCAAGATGACAAAACTTGGCTAAAAACAAATTCTATGAAGACTTCAAAAAGCATAAAATGCAAAAGAAGTTTATACCAGTATTTTGGAAATTCCTTGCAAATTTCATTCTAGGCAAAATGTTAATTTCAAATACACATATCAATAAGTGTTCAGTTACACAAATTACACAGTTGTAGCTGGCACTACAGCTCATTGTGCTCACCTTATTTTCTTGTTTCCCCTTGGACGCTCTGACTGGACGGACATGTAGCTTGTGCTGCTGAAACGTGAAGCGCTGCTTGTCCGTGACACAGCGGAGACATCGCTGACATCGCTGTCAGAAGACTTATTGGAAACATTGTCTGAGCCTCGATGAGGATCCCGCCCTGACCGATACTGCAAGAGGGAAGGGACAAAGATACAGATGTTGTCAGTGACACCCTACCACAAATCAGCTGTGGAGCTGGTCCCTGATGCTATCTAAACTGCCTTAGTCACTACATTGCCTGAACTTTTATAATGAAGTTTTTAACTGATACAGAATATAAGTTATGTCTTGGTTTCTATTAATTTTACTCTGCTTTGCTATCCCATTCAAGTAATTAGCTCCTCAGGTTCAACCATAGAGTGACTTGTGCAAAACTTCCAGCACATTCAAAAGTTTCACAAACCTTAGCAAAGACATCTAAACCATCATTGAATATTCTTACCACAACTGTTTCACCAGTGCAGAAAGGAAAGCAGAGAGATTAGTGACTTGCCTATGATTGCTGAGCTCATGAAAGATTAAACACAAGACAGAATGTGCTGCATGCTATCTATAGAGTACGTGTCTCTTTTGGGGCCTAGCCTGTTTACAAGAACTTCTAATTGACAAATGTTAATTTTTTTTTTCCCAAGTAAATAAGTAGATGAGAATATCAAATCAAAAGACAAAGCGATGATGTAGCTGTGCAAACTGAACTGCTGTGCTGGGAAACCTGAAAGGATGGGACAGGACTAGAGATAATTTGTAGGGAAAATATACATGTGCCTCAGAAACTAAAGGATTACAAAGGTATTTGAGCTTATTAACAGTAAATACCAAACATGGAACTGTCAGGTGACTGGTGATTATCAGTAAGCCCACACAACGTACAGTATTGTGCAGTGGTATACAGGTTAGATCTGAACCAAATATGATGGCTATTTGTGCTTCTTACACGTTAGCTCTAAATCAAGTCTGTGCCACTCTGCACTGCACTATATACAAATATAATAAATAGCAGAAAGATGTTTTTCCCTCTTCTCTTCATATACAGACATTTCTGTGTATACAGAAATCTGATGGGCTACTACTGATAATCTTTTCAGAAAAATAGTACTGCAACATGAATTGTCAATGAACACAAGGTAATTGTTTAGAAATAAGACAGTGTGGAAATATATGAAGAGCAGAACAGACAGAACTGATAGAAAACAAGGGGAGAAAATAATGTGCCTAACACATCAGTGGTTTGTTGAAATTTTGGGGGTAGCAACATCATTCAGCCATCTGAAGAAAAAAAAAGTGGAAGATCTGTGTAGTACTGCAGAAGACAAGGTTTGGCTATGAAATTTGGTGCTTTTTTATAGTTTTAGAACTGTCTTTCATGAAGTACACAGAAAATTTGTTTCTGTTCTCTTACAAGGAATGTTAAACTGGGAAATATTCTGAAAGATTGTGCAGTATCTCAATTGCATTTCAGAATAACATTTCAGTGCCTATTCATCATAAATTATTTTTATGCCTAAAACTAGTAAATTATTTTGCTCATTTCAAGACAGGGAAATTAAATAAAAACAAGAAAAAATGCTCATGCAGGTTAGACTGTACCCCTGCTGCAGAAAGTGACCAAGCACAGCCTGAACTCCACACTTACGAAAATGGTTATACATTCTGCAGCTGTTTTCCTGATCTGTACTAATTTATGGTATTTGTGTTCATCAACAAACACTCAAGTCCTCCCCAAACTTTATGTGTGAAAGTGCACTTAGTCACCCATAAACTCATAGAGTATCTTTGTGATTATAACGTTCGAAAGTTTTAATATTTACTGACTGGTTTTATTGATGCCATTTACTTGATAAAGGATACAGTACATATTATAACTGATATATTCATTTGGGAACATAAAAGCAATGATTAAGCAGCTATCCTGATCATCAGAGATAGTTGAACATTATACCAGAATAAAAGCAGTGTTCTTTTTCAGCAAGTCCTTTTAAAAGAGCTTCATAGCCCTTCAGAGAAGAAAATAATTATGCCAAGTTAAATGTGTATATACTGATTGTAGCTATTCCATTCCCCCCACCTAACCTTCCCTGTGATCATTTTGCATTGAAGACAAAGTTGTGAATGCAGTTTGCGTTGATTTAGCCTAAAGCTACCAAGACTGGGAAGTACAGCCTGGCTCACTGGGCTTCCACCACACACTACGGAAAGGCAACGCAGAGCTGCCCTCAGGCCTCCAGCACCGGCCAAGGCTCCCAGGCAGATGTAATTGCCGTCCCAAGCCCTTTGCTGACAAGGATACACTGCCATTGGCTCCCACCAAGCTAATGTACAGCCGAGATGTAAATGCCTGTATGAACATCTGTCGTACTGACAGTGGTTACTGACCCCGGGCCGGGCACATCGCCAGCACGGCAGAGCGTGGCCCTCCTTTGGGGAAGTAAGATGGGCCACAGTGTCAGACGTAAATCATTGATGGAACTGTTGCAATTAGGGGATAGATAATTACTTGTGATGATTCATAGAATAACAGACCTCAGCCTGCAGATCCCACACTGATCTTGCCCAACAGTCTATGGAAATGAGCCCTTCTGAATGAAATAAATGCAAGCAACATGAAGTGGCAAACTGTATCCGCATTCCACAAAGTTATTCTACAGAGTCACTCTGCAGTACATAAAGTTTCAAAAACCTATGGTTTTGATTTTCTCTGTTTCATTTCCACACCTGGGGAATGTCAGTTCTTAAAATATACTTTTCATAGCAATGTGCTGTATATAACAAATCAAACTTTTCCATAAATAGAACAAACTTATCATGGTTTGGTTGTTTGGTTTTTTTTTTTTTTAAAGCCAATGTAATAGTAATAATCTAGTAATATATAAGTGAAGATTGAAAATTGCTTTGGCAAGAAAAACACTTAAAGGTAAATAATTTAAGAAATATAATGTGAAAAACGATCATCAAATCATTACCTTGTCTCTTTTTTCTCAGTTGTATGTAGAGGTACTTCCCATCAAATGTTTTTAATTGGGTCAGATGGTACAGAAATATTATATGACCCTTACAGCTTCAGGATATTTTAGGTTGAAAATTGGGAAGTATAATTGAACCTTTAATTAAATCTGAATATCTGAATATACAATATTTTTTAAAGATTTTATTTATCCATTGTCTGAGTTACAGTCTTGGCATTTGCTAGCTGCCTACCACAGTAACATCTAGTAAAGTGAAATTAAATTGTCTTTCTTGCTGGACGAAGCTCAGATATCTCATATTCATTCATTAGTTCTGCTCCAAATTGCTCTTTATTCTGCTGCTAAGGTCTACTTTTGACCTTATATCTGACTTAATTTTGTTTAGGAAATGGATTACAGTAGTGTATTGCATATTAGTGTTTCAATAACTGCAGCACAGAAGACTAAGGGAATCATACTGCTTCTCTGACAGAAGCCATGCTGGCATTCCAGTTTTGCATCTGTTTCTTAAATTGCAATTCTATATACAGCCATTTCTGAAGTGCTCTTTTGCTGCCTGCCTCAAAAGTAAAATGGCATTTCCATTGTGCAAAAATTGATTTTTAAAAAGTATTCAGTTCTTTCATGTCTTATACTCTGACTGTAAAATGTAACAATTTATTCAGTTTTGTGCTATTGCTTTTTCAGTATTTGTGTGGCTAAAGTTGCCCCAAGGCATCACATCTTCATATATGTCACATACTTCCTTTCTTTCTTTTTGCAAATTTCACTTTTTTTTTTTTCTAAATGTCACCAACTGTATGAGAAGATCAACTACTGGATTGAAAATATAATTTTTAACCAAGTGCCATCCACCAATTATATCTGAAACACTGATACCATCCCTCTCTACTGCCATCCCTACATTCTGTGATGTAGGGTTTGTGCCATCTGAATGCACACAGCCAGGGAACTGCAGCCTCCATGGCTGGATTCAGGCTGCAGCATGGCCACAGATTTGGATCATCAGCTCCAGCAGCTGTCCTATGTGCTCCCATTTCCCTCAGGAGAAAACATGGACAATAAGGGAGCTCCATAGCTCCCCTTGTATCAATCAGGAGGCCCAGGCTGTGTTGACATGTACCTGCCCATCACGCAGGCTAATTAAAAAGTTTCTTTCACATTTTTTTGTTTTTTAAATACCAACCACAGCAATAGGAAAATTGTCTCCTGGCTTTCCTCGTGCTGGAAATATATGCCTCTTTTGCTGGAATAAGGTTAAATTTTCATTTCCAACCCAATCAAGACTCATACAATATAGGCAGCATTCTGGACTTTATGACCCATAAAGCAGTAACAGTACTCAGAGTCTTCAAGCTGTTTCAACAATAGGAAGTCTGCTGCAAGCAGAGGGGTTGATTAAAACATGCTTTTGTATTTTTAATAGTAAGATGATTTTGTCCTATTTTGCCATGTTGAAGAATGAGAAAAATTGCATTATTATGGATTCTATCAAACAAGTTCTAAAGTTTCCAAGATCATTTTTCTCTGCATTAGTAAAATAATCAGCTGGAGACCTTAACAAAAGGATAGTTAGGTGTTAGTGCCTGTGTCTTTTCACTGCAAGAGATTACTGTCCTGTAGTGATGAATTCATACTTATTAAAGCTGAAAAGCAAATACCTGCTCTGCTTCCTTATACAACAACCCTCGCAAACATTTTTACCTCTTGGTGAACTATCGACATGTCTATGTGGCTGAAAAGCCACATAGAGCAACAGCTCCTCTGATACTGATGCTCTTATTTCTGGAAAGAAACTCTTTTGGAACTTCTAATTCAAAGGAAGTTTTAAAGTGTTTCATGTTGCTTTAATCTATTGTTACCAGTCTTCCATCTTGGACTATATAGTCATGCAGCTGTCCAGGCAATTGAAATTGTCAGTGATTTCTAACCATCTTTCTATCTTATCATAATTTTTTTTTTCTTTTTTTTATAGTCTACTCATCAGTTTGTATTTGCTAGCATTTACATAGGGACATGCAAATCTGGTCAATGTTTTTACTGATCAAAATGTTGGGAAGATGTTTCCGACAATTGTCCATTGTGCTGCTACCAGAATATTAAAAAAGCATTCTGGACTATTTCAATAGTTCTTTGCCTCACTGACAAAAGCTCTTGAGCAGCCA